CGGGTCCGGGCTGGGGATTCGAACCCGCCACCTTAGGTGTACGTGGCTGGCGCCTTAGCCGGTTGAGCTATAGGCGCCGAGCCTACCAATTCTTTATCGTATATTTTTCTTCATATGAAATAGCTAAAGGCTAATTTAACTCATGAAAGAATTTATAGAACTTTCTGAGTCTGACTTCTCCCTTGATGATCTGAGAGTGTGTCCATTTGACACGCATCTTCATCTCTCTGTCCAAACTCCTCCCTGCCATGGAACTTGGTGACTGCCCGCCTAGAGGGATGCTCTTTGCTGTTGGGCTTCTGCGCACACCTCTGTTAGAACCCCCCTTTGTTGCTGATGATGTTACATGACACTAGTAAAGAGCTTCCTCTGCAGACGGACCGTTCTGCACCGTGTTCGTACCCACATTGCTTCAGTCTCATGCACACAGCAGCCGTTCACCAGTTTTCACTTTCAGGAACATGACCCATGGGCTGGCAGTTGCTGCTGCTGCTGGCGGATGAGTGTGTGTGGATATCACTGTGCTGTTGTCTGCTTCAGTGTGTGTTGAAAATTGTCCATAATAAAAAGTTAAAAAATGTATTACGGTTGATAAAGTCATTGAAGAAGCCACCAGTTGCACCTGTGAAAAGGGTTTAGGTAATTAAAAATAACAATATTGTGTTGGCAGATAAATGTGCTCTTCAGCACAATGTCTGTGGCATGGTATTAGAGGCCAGCAACTAATTAAATCATGTGACAGTGTACTAAGAATGGTCTTACCATTATTTGAGTGCTCTGATAGTTTTTTTAATGTTCAGGTAATTAATATACAGTAAAACATCTGTGAGTTGACCACCCAGGGACCCATAACAAACTGGTTAGCATATAACCTAACATGCACATCTGAAGTGGGCACTGAACGTGGAGAGGTGTGGGTGATGGGACGTGGTGAAGAGGGGGCTGTGGCAGGGGCCCTGGGCTCTGAGCGTTCCTGTGGCCAACGTAAGGAACTAGCCTACTATACTGATGTGTGTATGTCCAGTCTGAAAATTAGGTCAGCTTAAAGAAATGGCCAGCTATAGAGCTTCTGCTGTAGTTGTAAAATTGTGCCTCTTATCCCCAGCCTTTTTCCCATTCATCACTGTTTTAGTGGTTCCTGTTCTTCTGCTTTCCAGCAATTGGACCACAAATCCTCGTTCAAGGAAAGAGTTTAAGAAGCTAGGTGCACACCTGTCCTTAGCATTTGGATATCCACCTGTGGTTGACAGACATGGAGCCTAGATGCCTAGAGCTCTCTTACCATCCTCTCTGCCACAGGAGAGCGAATGTCAGGAAATCTCCCATTGTGGCGTCACTTCCTTGAGGTGACTGTACTGTGCAGTGACGTTGTCCATCCAGAAACATCCAGAGCCCAGGCCCTGCCGTGCGTCCCGTTGCTCCCACTTTCCCCACAGCCTTGCGGCTCCCTCACACTCTCCATCTTCAGTGCTCACTTCAGTCCCAAGCTGATGGCATCACTCCCTAGACCCCTGCAGGCGAGGCCTGCCCAGCTGTCTTCCATCTGTCCTCTGCTCACCACCAGACTGACCCTTGGGAGGTCACTCGGGCCACATGACTTCCTCACACTCCCTTGGAGCCCTGTGGTCAACTCCTCAGCTCCTGGATAAGCATGAAACAAACCATCAGTGCTGACCAGAAAGCCTTCCTGTCCCCCTCACTTCCTACACAGGCCTTTGCACACACTAGATCTGCCTCCTCCACACTGAAGTCCCCTGGTGACTCCACTTCACTTCCTGCACCAACCTGCAGTGACCTTCGATTTATCCATGTGTCTGTCTGTCCTCAGCTCCTGCTGGTCCTGATTTTTTGCTCTCCCCTGTATCCCAGCAACTCTCAGGAAATATGAATTTTTTTAAAGTATTTATCAACTGATCAATTTTATGATACTGGTAGACATATAGTTCTTAGACATTATTTTTACAAAATAAAAAGTAACATACCCACATTTCTGGATGCACAATGTCACTGCACAGTACAGTTACCTCAAGGAAGTGATGCCACAGTGGGGGATTTCCTAACACTCGCTCTCTCTCCTGTGGCAGAGAGAGTGGTAAGAGAGCTCTAGGCATCTAGGTTCCATGTCTGAACCACAGGTGGACGTCCAAATACCCAGGACAAGTGTGCACCTAGCTTCTTAAACTCTTCCTGTGAATGAGGGAAGTTCCTAGATAACAAAAGAGCAGGAACCACTAAAACAGCAATGAATGGGACAGTAAGGAGCCTGGTGCAAATGACAAGCCTTTTGGAGGTAAATGATAACTATTAGCATTTCTTAATTTTCACAAAATTCTGGGCTCATAAGACAGTGCACAATGTCATTCATAAAGGTGAATGAAGTAAATTTATTTTAAATCATCATTTCTGTTAGTAAAACTTCAGTGGCTTTGGCTCGGTGCCTATAGCTCAACCGGCTAAGGCGCCAGCCACGTACACCTAAGGTGGCGGGTTCGAATCCCCAGCCCGGACCCGCCAAACAACAATGAC